AACGTTACTAGTATTATCTAGGTTCTCTATTCGAGTGTACGTGTATAGATTCAGGCGTTCGTTTGTTGTTGCTGACGGAAGACTCGTGGTAATATTCAGAGTCGAACTAACGTTTTGCATATGAGAATTAATATTATTGTGCCAAGCGCGAAGCATAATTCAAGGGTTCTTTACGCCCCATGGCTTTGTTGACACGCATCAAAAATTGATACATTTCGTTCGCCACGCTGTTGGGCCGGGCGTTCCCACGCACGTCGCCATAGTAACAGCACGTAGCAGCAGCGGCACTGGTAGACTCCCTGGCGCCGCAGACCACGTGGCGTTCCGGCGCGCCAATCACAGCGCGCAGATGGGGACCCGCCCACCAACCGGGCCGCAGAAGAGTTGAGACTCCGCCCAGAGACACCGCCTGAAGATTGTTAGACGACTGTAGCTTGTTCCGCCCTGCACGGCCGGCGCGGCTTGTCCCGATTTCATCCCAAAATTTTTCACAGAGTCAACTTTTATAGTCTGAGAACAAATGAATCTGCGTCAAATTTTGCATAAACACGTCAAGTTCGGGTTGTCCCGTACCGTGTTTATTTATTTTTCGGGTGCGTTGCCGTTTTTTTTTTTTTGGCAAAAAAATCGACTCCATTTTCATCGCACCCACTACATCGCACCCTCTACATCCTCGCGCAGGTTTATTCAAAACTACACAAACAATACATGAATCTGTTCCTTACAAATGTATTTCTCAATACATCCGAATCCAAGATCGCTATATTTACAAATTGTACGATTTTCCACGATCAAAATTGTCCGGCATTTCTGGACGCACGTTACGAAGCGCTCCCTCCCACTCGAGTGCAACACACGTCCACCGCTACGAACCCTCTGCATTCTCGCCAATCCTCGCGCTAATTAACTCAAAACCACACAAACTACATACGAAACTGTTCCTTAGAATGTATATTTTAAACATCTAAATCCCAGAATGGTAACTTTGCGAATTGTACGAAATTTTACGGTTAAAAACTGATTGGTTGTTGCTCGGAAGCCAGCGGCGGCGTGGGGTGACGGACAAAGAGTAAAATTATGTATTTCTTTCAAAATGCTGTTTTGTTTTGTACGACCAAAAATAGACTATTCTAGTAAATAAATTCAGGACTGAAAGAATCTTTCGGGAATACATATATACTGTATTTGTATGTAGGTTTATTGTGTATTTGACACAATTTTGGCGTTCATTCCACCGGGAAGTGTTCCGCGATCAGCGTGGGTTTCAAAACAAGAAACACAAGATCAAGAAACAAAGCTCCCGCTAATTAGAACCCTGTAACAATTCAGACCACAGCGATCATGTTTTCGATAAATATATTTGTGTACATGCACGTTTCAGAGAGGTAGAAATCTTAACTCAATCTATTAAACCACATTCTAGCTCAGGAATTTACGATCTTCACTGTTGGGTAAAAAATATCGGCAGATCTCATGAACATTTTCACTCCGCGCTATAGAAAATGTAAACAAACCGGGTGTGATCTTTCTCCGCCCACGGCGCGGGTGGCCTGCATATGAAAAGGACGTATTTCTGCGGAAACGCGGCCTTACGGAGAGGTGTTCTGCGGAACTTTCGCAAAGTTCTGCGAAAGTGCTCTCAGGTGCACTGCGGGACGTCGTGCAGAATACCGCGGTACGCCCTGCGAAATACCGCAGAACGCCGTGCGTAAGATTGCGGAACGCCGTGCGTAAGATTGCGGAACGCCGTGCGTAAGATTGCGGAACGTCCTGCGGAATATTGCGGGACGTCCTGCGGAATATTGCGGGACGTCCTGCGGAATATCGCGGTACGTCCCGCAGAACTTGATGCGTATTTCGTGGCCTGTACTGTACTATCAACTATCTTGAGAAAATCCTCTTACTTCAGCTGCAGACAGGATTTCTCACACAGGGCTCAAAATTAACGGTGTCCCGATGGCCACTGACCACTAATATTTTGGTCGGGAAACCTATAAAGACACTTTGGAATATTTTGGAGACAATAGAAAAATAATCAACATCAGAATGTCAGCCCTTCTTTTGTTTATCAGGCACACGTCCCGGCTTTTGGCTCCAGAAAAGTCCCCTCAAATTTCCTGTCTGACTCTATTTCTACTCAATGCAATTATAGTGCGCCTGGGAGTCAGAGTCATAGCACCACATGTACAAGTAACATCCAAGATGACCACTATCTTAGACTCTAGAGCAAGAATTACCCATATTACAATCCTAGATAAACAAAGATGGGAAACTTGTACCACAGAAACAGTAGAAACATCAAGAGGGTCCCACAGAACCTCCCTGGTCTCCCCCAGCACCTACCATCCACGGCACTGCTGCACATCTCCCTGCCAACATGACAATGGCCCGGGCAGTAGGACCTATAGACCAAAGCCCTGCCCGTATGGCCATCATGGCACAGCCTGCACATACTTACACTGATCCTCATAAGCCAACTTGTCATGTTGCATAAAAGCCTTCTTTATGGATGCGATTTGATCCCGGAAATTACTTCATTCTGAACTGCTTCACATCCCTGCTTACCTAATTAAGTCTGTGTCTGGGATCTAATATGAACCCTCACGATTCTGCCCCGACACATTAAAGAAAGGGTGAATTGGAAGCGATCTGCTGACACAGCATCAGTAATCCCTGATATGTGCACACTTCAGACACAGGTGCTCATGACAGGCTTCACAAGGCCTTCATAACACCGCTTATTTAAAATGTGGGCCAGTCTTAGGTACCCAGCAGATTATAGGAGTAATACATGTAATTGAA